TTCGGGGTGCGAAGCTGCCCGGCGAATTCGAGGTGGAGGGCCTGCACTTCCACTGGGGCGACAAGAACAATCGAGGCTCCGAGCATGTCATCAACGACATCCGCTACACCATGGAGATGCACATTGTGCATCGCAACAAGAAGTATGCGACCATTGGGGAGGCGCTCAATCATCCCGATGGCGCGGCCGTGCTCGGATTCTTCTTCAATGTGAGTACGGATTGGACATGGAAATGATGTGTTAACCCATTATGGCAATCTCTCTACAGCTGGATGAGGACGAGGGTCAGGGCTTGGTCACCATTAATCGTCATCTGCATTTGATAGCCGATGCCAACCAGGAGGCCAGCCTCAATGTCACCTTCTCCCTGTCCTCACTGATAGCCGGCGTTGATGTGGACAAGTTTTACACCTACAAGGGTATGTATCCACCAGGGGGGGGAATCTGCCATTAAGCAGACATTTGCACATTCAATTAGCATTCAGGCGGGACTCTAAGTGGAACTGAATGGCAGCCACTGATTTGAATGACGGCGAATCGATGTCAATAACAGCAAAACAGATGTTCATCCCACAATCACACACAACTCAATTAATGTCTCAATCTGTCTGTGATTTAGGTTCGTTGACAACGCCGCCCTGCTCGGAGGCCGTCACCTGGATCCTGTACTCCGATCCCATACCAATCTCCCCCAAGCAAATCTCTCGCTTCCGTCAGCTGTCGGACACGCAGGATGGCGCGTTGGTGGACAACTTCCGCACGCTGCAGCCGGTGGGCAATCGCCGGATCTTTGCACGCACCGGACACGTGCGGCACACCTCGATTGCGGCCCTGAAGCACGAGGGCGACTATCTCAAGTACGATTGGTTCTACTGAACTCGCACGAGCAGGAGCAGGACCAGAAGCTGGAGCTGGAGCACTGTGCCATGCCATGTTAGGTTACCATTTAAGTTTAGCATTTATTATCTTACACTAACAATTAGACGTAACACTCCATCCACGGCAGGATGTACATTAAAACAAATACTCTTCCTACGCGATCAACTGTGTCTTTCTGCCATAAAGGTTAAGCGAGTTGGGTATGTCCTCGACGAAGAAGTTGGCGGGTATCAGACTGAACATATTCTGCAGCAGCTTCAGCATCGTCCGCTCCACAGTCTCGTCCACCAGGGGACGCAGTGCCTCAAACAGATCCCGCCAATTGTCGTTGAAGAACTGATTGGCGCCGCGTTCCACCTCCTTGCTGTGGCCATTGAAGAGGTCTTCCATGTGGGTCTTCACCTTGCCCACATCCAGCTTCACACGCGTTGATGTTATGTTGTAGAAAGTGTAGCCGCCTTTTTCGTACAGAGATGTCTTGGTGCTCATCAATATGTTGAGGTCATCTAGAAATGATGCTTTTGAATGTGTTTGAAGTGCCAAGAGGCTGAGATTTATGTACCAATTTCTAGGAACATGTCGCCACCACCGCGCAGGGGCACCAGCAGAATGCGTCCAATCATTTGGTATTTGCAGTCCAAGCGCATTGTTGGCAAGTAGATTTTTGTCAGCCAGCTAAAGTCCGTTTTGCTGACCCTAAAAAGAGATTCAAATGCACTTTCATTATAGCCACAAAACAAGCTCCAGCGAGCATGTTTTATTCGCTTTTATTCGACACTCACCTGCTCTCCTTGATCACCATTTTGCCAAAGCCGCGTATCAGCATATCCGTAAGATTAGCTGAAATGGTGGCCACATCGCTATTGTCCTGCTGAAAAACCAGCTGATCCTGCTTCATGGGATCAATGGGTCCAAAGGATTCTTCAATCTCGGGTATGCCTGACGATTTGGAATATTCCGTTGAGCGTGGAAAGTTTTGCTAAGCTAAAAGCCTCACCTTTGATTACCTGATTCATGAATCGCTGAATCGAACGGGTTGAGCAGTTGGTGAACGCGGGCTCATAGATGCGACACGACTCGATGTACGAGGCTGCAATATGAACAGTTTTCCGGCATTGGCACAAGGTGCCACATGATTTGAGTTAAGAGTTTGAGTTCACACACTGCCACATTAATGTTTCACTTACGCTTTTCTGTGTAGAACGCAGCGCAGTGACTGCCGCCGAGCAGCAGCAACTGGAGCATGCCCGCGCACACCAGTAACCCAATTATGTGCATTGGGAAAAAGTTGTCACTGTCACAGAGTAATATCACAGTTAAAGTCACCGCCTAATCGAGTTAGTCGCGGCTTGGCGAATGAGAGCTAACTCGGAGCGGAGCTGGCTTTTATCTCGACTAAATATGGCCCAAGTGCATGTGCGGTCTGGCCCTCCCAGCGACTCGAGTGCAATTGATGAATTGAGTCTGGCTGTGATGCCTGTGGGCAATACCAGACCAGAATCGAGAGATTTTCATTTACTACGTCCACTTAAATGTATTCCATATTTATATTATAGATTATACCTTGCCACAGCACAGCGTACGAACCGGTAAGCTCATTTTTTTTTGTAATTTCTAGATACTCGCACTGGCGTCTGGCAGCTGGAAAATACGTCGACTGACAGTCAGAGGCTGTGCTGTGTTCGCACCTAGGCAACACTTAATTGCTCAAGTCAGGTTGAAAACAAAACTAAAAATACCTGCACATTAATGGCCATAATAAAAACATTAAGCGATCCGAATGCTACAACATTGTTGAGCCAATGTTACTTATGCACAAAGTATGTTCAGCCATGAACTAAGCAGCAATAGATATCTGGAGTACAGTTTAAGCTATGGATGCCATTTATTTATTCAAAGAAATTATTGCCAGGCTTGTGCCTTTTTCATTTGCATTTCTATTTATTTGTGCAGCCGTTACGCATCAAAATTTGAGCCGCCAAATGATTTGGTCTCCAATTGTTAATCATTTAATGTGACTAATGCCAAAAGTATTCTTCTAACTAAGCTGCAGCAGTCCATAATGATGTAATGATACATATACATATTTTTGCATATTAATTTCTCTTTATTTCCATGCAAGTTTCAATGCGAGAGTGACCTCGTTTCGGGGGAATACTTTGAATTTGATAGGAGCTTTGTGGCTTCTTAATTTGCATAAGTTTCGTAAATTTAATCTCTAAGAAAACAAAGTCTAGAACAAAAGTGAGTCATAAGTCTAAGCGGCATGTAATTACATTAGAGCATATGGAATTCGGTGTGTATAGAAATTAGTTCTATGCCCTAAGAGTGCATTTATTAGGGGTACAAAGGGGGGGGCTGGAGATAAGCCGGGAAGATCTCTTCCCCACCCCTCGGGTAGAGCTCTTCGGGGGGGAACAATGTTCCATTATAAGCATTGAGCCATTGCGACATTCGTCTGCTTTGGCGATAAGTCTTGTTAAAACGGATGCCATATATGTACATAATTGTGTACATATATGTATGTAAATATGTACGTATGTGGGAACCAAGAAGCGTTTGCAAACTTATGAATATTTTCTGATTTTTGCTGAGGCCTCTTTAGTCACATTTCTAAATGGATCAGAGTCAGTTGTTGGATATTTCTTAGGCAATCATGTTGATTGGCAACATTTTCATATTTTCCCTGCTAATCGGATTCTTGGAGGCGCAGATGTGCGAGGTGAAGCAGGTCAGAACTGTGAATGGCAAGCGTATGGTAAGGCAGACCTTTGGAGTCTCTTTCCACATACAATGAAAGAGTTTTTTTCTATAGGAACGAAAAGTGCAAACCTGCTGCAGAGGATACAGAAGAACTGGGAAGGCTCCAAAGATCAAGTGTGTGGCCACCTGCCAGCGACCCTGTGGAAGTGGCAGGTGCACGAAGCCAAATGTGTGCACCTGCAACGCTGGATATCAAAACTTTAACAACGTTTCGTCCAATCGGTGGGCAGCTCCATATATTATCTACTTCATAACTGATTCGATTTCTCCATACCCTGCAGATGTGTTCCCGCCTGCAAGGGTGGCTGCAGCAAGGGCACCTGCCAATCGCCCGGACGGTGCGTCTGCTCCAAGGACCATGTACTGGACACCGCCAGCGGCAACTGTCTGCCCCACTGTCCCAGCGGCTGTCCCAACGGCAAGTGCGTGCTCCCCAACAAGTGCAGCTGCAACGCAGGCTTCACGCTGCATGCCACCAGTCAGACATGCCAGCCCAGCTGCGATCAGAACTGTGACTTCGGCCACGGTGTCTGTGCGGCTCCTAATCGCTGCGAGTGCAAAACGGGCTACGTACTGGACAAAGGCTCCAAGTCGTTTATGTGTCGACCAGTGTGTCGCATGGGCTGCGATAACGGGGTTTGCCGGGCACCCGACGTGTGCGAGTGCAAGAAACACTATCAGAAGGGGCCCGATAGAAACTGCGTGCCCATCTGCACCGACGGTTGCTTCAATGGCAACTGCACGGCGCCAGCTGTCTGCGAATGCCACAAAGGTTACCTTGCCATCAGCGACTCGGTTTGCCTACCCATCTGCAGCGCAGGATGCCCGAACGGGTTCTGTGAGGCTCCAGAGACTTGCGCATGCAACGAGGGCTATCTGAAGCAGGACAACATCTGTGCGCCAGTCTGCAAAGGCGGATGTGAGAACGGATTCTGCGAGTCTCCTGGAAAGTGTTCCTGCAACGAAGGATTTGGAAAGGAGACTGAGAACAGATGTGTTCCCATTTGCGAGGGAGGATGCGAGAACGGATTCTGCGAGTCTCCCGGAAAGTGTTCCTGCAACGAAGGATACGGAAAGGAAAGTGAGAACAGATGTGTTCCCATTTGCGAAGGAGGATGTGAGAACGGATTCTGCAAGTCTCCTGGAAAGTGTTCCTGCAACGAAGGATACGGAAAGGAAAGTGAGAACAGATGTGTTCCCATTTGTAACGGAGGATGTGAGAACGGATTCTGCGAGTATCCTGAAAAGTGTTCCTGCAACGAAGGATACGGAAAGGAGACTGAGAACAGATGTGTTCCCATTTGCGAGGGAGGATGTGAGAACGGATTCTGCAAATCCCCCGGAAAGTGTTCCTGCCTTGAAGGATTTGGAAGGGAAAGTGAGAACAGATGTGTTCCCATATGCGAAGGTGGATGTGAGAACGGATTCTGCGAGTCTCCTGGAAAGTGTTCCTGCAACGAAGGATACGGAAAGGAGACTGAGAACAGATGTGTTCCCATTTGCGAGGGAGGATGTGAGAACGGATTCTGCGAGTCTCCTGGAAAGTGTTCCTGCCTTGAAGGATTTGGAAGGGAAAGTGAGAACAGATGTGTTCCCATTTGCGAAGGTGGATGCGAGAACGGATTCTGCGAGTCTCCCGGAAAGTGTTCCTGCCTTGAAGGATTTGGAAAGGAGACTGAGAACAGATGTCTTCCCATCTGCGAAGGAGGATGTGAGAACGGATTCTGCGAGTCTCCGGGAAAGTGTTCCTGCAACGAAGGATACGGAAAGGAGACTGAGAACAGATGTGTTCCTGTTTGTGAAGACGGATGTGAGAACGGATTCTGTGAGTCTCCCGGAAAGTGTTCCTGCAACGAAGGATACGGAAAGGAAACTGAGAACAGATGTGTTCCCATCTGCGAGGGAGGATGTGAGAACGGATTCTGCGAGTCTCCGGGAAAGTGTTCCTGCCTTGAAGGATTTGGAAAGGAAACTGAGAACAGATGTGTTCCCATTTGCGAGGGAGGATGTGAGAACGGATTCTGCGAGTCTCCTGGAAAGTGTTCCTGCAACGAAGGATACTTAAAGGAAACTGAGAACAGATGTCTTCCCATATGCGAGGGAGGATGTGAGAACGGATTCTGCGAGTCCCCCGGAAAGTGTTCCTGCAACGAAGGATACGGAAAGGAGAGTGAGAACAGATGTGTTCCCATTTGTAAGGGAGAATGTGAGAACGGATTCTGCGAGTCTCCGGGAAAGTGTTCCTGCAACGAAGGATACGGAAAGGAAACTGAGAACAGATGTGTTCCCATATGCGAGGGTGGATGCGAGAACGGATTCTGTGAGTGTCCCGGAAAGTGTTCCTGCAACGAAGGATACGGAAAGGAAAGTGAGAACAGATGTGTTCCCATTTGCGAGGGAGGATGTGAGAACGGATTCTGCGAGTCTCCTGGAAAGTGTTCCTGCAACGAAGGATACGGAAAGGAGACTGAGAACAGATGTGTTCCCATTTGTAATGGAGAATGTGAGAACGGATTCTGCGAGTCTCCGGGAAAGTGTTCCTGCAACGAAGGATTTGGAAAGGAAAGTGAGAACAGATGTGTTCCCATTTGCGACGGAGGATGTGAGAACGGATTCTGCGAGTCTCCCGGAAAGTGTTCCTGCAACGAAGGATACGGAAAGGAAACTGAGAACAGATGTGTTCCCATTTGTAAGGGAGAATGTGAGAACGGATTCTGCAAATCCCCCGGAAAGTGTTCCTGCCTTGAAGGATTTGGAAGGGAAAGTGAGAACAGATGTGTTCCCATATGCGAGGGTGGATGCGAGAACGGATTCTGCGAGTCTTCCGGAAAGTGTTCCTGCAACGAAGGATACGGAAAGGAGAGTGAGAACAGATGTGTTCCTGTTTGTGAAGACGGATGTGAGAACGGATTCTGCGAGTCTCCTGGAAAGTGTTCCTGCAACGAAGGATTTGGAAAGGAAAGTGAGAACAGATGTGTTCCCATTTGCGACGGAGGATGTGAGAACGGATTCTGCGAATCTCCCGGAAAGTGTTTCTGCCACGAAGGATACGGAAAGGAAACTGAGAACAGATGTGTTCCCATATGCGAGGGAGGATGTGAGAACGGATTCTGCAAATCCCCCGGAAAGTGTTCCTGCCTTGAAGGATTTGGAAGGGAAAGTGAGAACAGATGTGTTCCCAATTGCGAGGGAGGATGTGAGAACGGATTCTGCAAATCCCCCGGAAAGTGTTCCTGCAACGAAGGATTTGGAAAGGAAAGTGAGAACAGATGTGTTCCCATTTGCGACGGTGGCTGTGAGAACGGATACTGCGAGTCTCCTGGAAAGTGTTCCTGCAACGAAGGATACGGAAAGGAGAGTGAGAACAGATGTGTTCCCATTTGCGAGGGAGGATGCGAGAACGGATTCTGCAAATCCCCCGGAAAGTGTTCCTGCAACGAAGGATTTGGAAAGGAAAGTGAGAACAGATGTGTTCCCATTTGTAAGGGAGAATGTGAGAACGGATTCTGCGAGTCTCCGGGAAAGTGTTCCTGCAACGAAGGATTTGGAAAGGAAAGTGAGAACAGATGTGTTCCCATTTGCGAGGGAGGATGTGAGAACGGATTCTGCGAGTCTCCTGGAAAGTGTTCCTGCAACGAAGGATACGGAAAGGAGACTGAGAACAGATGTGTTCCCATTTGCGAGGGAGGATGTGAGAACGGATTCTGCAAATCCCCCGGAAAGTGTTCCTGCCTTGAAGGATTTGGAAGGGAAAGTGAGAACAGATGTGTTCCCAATTGCGAGGGAGGATGTGAGAACGGATTCTGCAAATCCCCCGGAAAGTGTTCCTGCCTTGAAGGATTTGGAAGGGAAAGTGAGAACAGATGTGTTCCCATTTGCGACGGAGGATGTGAGAACGGATTCTGCGAATCTCCCGGAAAGTGTTTCTGCCACGAAGGATACGGAAAGGAAACTGAGAACAGATGTGTTCCCAATTGCGAGGGAGAATGTGAGAACGGATTCTGCAAATCCCCCGGAAAGTGTTCCTGCCTTGAAGGATTTGGAAGGGAAAGTGAGAACAGATGTGTTCCCATTTGCGAAGGAGGATGTGAGAACGGATTCTGCGAGTCTCCCGGAAAGTGTTCCTGCAACGAAGGATACGGAAAGGAGAGTGAGAACAGATGTGTTCCCATTTGCGAAGGTGGATGTGAGAACGGATTCTGCAAATCCCCCGGAAAGTGTTCCTGCAAAGAAGGATACGGAAAGGAAACTGAGAACAGATGTGTTCCCATGTGCGAAGGAGGATGTGAGAACGGATTCTGCGAGTCTCCTGGAAAGTGTTCCTGCAACGAAGGATACGGAAAGGAGAGTGAGAACAGATGTGTTCCCATTTGCGAGGGAGGATGTGAGAACGGATTCTGTGAGTCACCCGGAAAGTGTTCCTGCAACGAAGGATACGGAAAGGAGAGTGAGAACAGATGTGTTAATGTTTGTGAAGACGGATGTGAGAACGGAGGAATATGCGTGGGGCCCGGGCAGTGCTCGTGCAGGGAAGGATACATGAAGAGCGGAGAAAGCTCCTGCAAACCCCACTGTCCGAATGGATGTTTCAATGGATCCTGCGTCGCACCGAATGTTTGCGTTTGTGTCGTTGGTTATGTCTACGAGTTTTCATCAGGGATGTGTGTTCCTAGGGAACCTGCCTCTTCGACTGTCAGCTGGTATGAGGAATCCACGGCCTCATCGGAGAGTTCCTCCTCGATGGCGGATTTGATCGTTTGGTGCGAGAAGTTCTGCTGGAACGGGACATGCGTGGAGGAGCAATGTACCTGCGAGCCAAACTACAAGTTGCAGAGGGACGAAGGTGATGCCGGACGGCTGCTGTGTCTTCCCATTTGCGAGAGGGAGTGCATCAACGGGTATTGCCTCTTCCCCGATGTGTGTGCCTGCTTCAATGGCGGAGAGCCAGCTGCCGGCTACCTATGCCAGTCGCCAGATGGATCGACCACGGTGGAGCACTCCCATGGACGGAGCACCGGCAAGAACCGATTGCAATGGCTCTTCATATTAGTGGGCATCGTTTCGGTGGTTTTGTCGATCGTCATTGCGTTTCTGATGTGTTATATCTACAAGAAGCACAGCTATCGAGTGGACAAGAATGGTGAGATAAGCAATTCAAATCTGAACATATTCTAATTTATTTTCTTTGTATTTTCAGAACAAAAGTTTGGAGTGTACTTTTCAGCGAACAAAGCTGATATCATTCGAGCTTGATCTTCCAGTGCCAACCCACAATTTTCACATTATTTAATAGAGTTAAAAGTACGAGTATGACAGGAATGAAACTCATTTTAATTGCCAATATTCTGTTGTACAAGTAATAAACATTTATTGCCACTGTCTCAGCGACAAACTCTCAGCTCCAAACTGGAATAGACTCTCAGTTCTCACTTTTCACTGGATTTGGATTCATTATCACTAGCAGCCGCCGGCTTGGAGGCATAAAACTCCTGGGGAGTGGGTATGTCTTCCACAAAGAAATTAGCTGGTATCAAATGGAACACCTTGGACATCACATCGTTGAGTATATTCTCGACCGTTCCGACAATCAGCGGCTTGAGGGCCTCGTAAAAGTCTCGCCAGTTGTCGTTGAAAAACTGATTTGTGCTGCGCTCCACCTCGGGGCTGCGACCGTTGAACAGGTTGTCCAGATGGGTGTGCACTCGGGAGAGCTTCAATTGCGCTCGAACCGACGTCACATTGTCGAATATGAAGCCGCCCTTCTCGTACAGCTCCGTCGTGGTTAGCAGTAGTATATCCAGATCGTCTAACCAGATACGATTGTGAGTTCTAATGCTGAGCCGTAAAATGCAAAAACACTTACGAATCTCTATGAATATATTGCCAGAGCCACTCAGTGGTATGAGCAGAATCCGTCCAGCCATTTGGTACTTGCCATCCAGTCGCATTTTGGGCAGATAGATTTTTGTCTGCCAGTTAAAGTCCTTCTTGCTGACCCTAATTGAATCGCTTTACTGATAAAGTGCTCTACTGATTTGCTGCTATCACTCACCGGCTTTCCTTGACCTTGGTTTGGGCAAAACCCTTCACCACAAGATCTGTGAGATTGGCTCGGATGGTGGCCACCTCATTGTTGTCCTGCTTGAAGATTATGTCTCTCACGTGCATGGGATCGAAGGGACCAAAGCTCTCGACTATCTCTGGAATGCCGATGTTCATTTGATCCAGCAGCTTCTGTATGCTGTTCGTGGAGCACTTGGTGAAGCCGGGCTCATAGATCCGGCACGAGGGCAGCCAGGATGCTGTTGGGAGTACCAGTTATGTGCAGTTATGTGAATGGCAACACTTACGCTTCTCCGTGTAGTAGGCGACGGCTGAGACCATCCCACCCAAGGCAATCTCATTTAGGCACAAGATCACAATTAATCCACCACAAAGGCCGAGACACCTACGGCCATGGCGCGTGCTCATGCTACTGTATCTTTGTGCAATTTTGTATCTAATATGTGTACTTGCGACTGAGACAGCCGCTTAGCGTCGCATTAATCGGTGTCACGACATGCAACCGACTAGCTGGAGGCAAGCTCCGGGCCTCAGTTTTATTCTCATCCGAGCTGCGAGCGGTGACAACGTTCAACTGAGATGAAAACTTTCAGCCATTTACTCGTAGCTTGAACACGAAGCCGGGTGCCAAGTACAACTGGTACTTTGTGTTTAATTTCAGCCATTTCCTGTCCTACCAGGCGATTGCATTATTATTAAAAGTTATTACCATTAAGTTATATTAATTCTACGGCATTTAGTTCTTCCCCCCTCAGTGAAAGTCTTTGATGAAGTAGCTGGCTGGCACGTAGGCGAACGTCTTCTTCATGCGATCGAGCAGGACTCCTTGAACAGTTTGCTCGGCAGCAGGACGCAGCACCTCGTAGAACTCGCGCCAGTTCTCGTTGAATAGTGTGTGGGCACTGTCTTCCAGCGGCTTATTGCCACCAAACAGATTGTCCAACTGGATGTGGAATTGCTTGATCTCACGGAAGGAGATCTTCACACGATCCACCTCCGCGAAACCACCTTCGGGTGTGACGCGTGGCCTGCCCGCCATTTCCATGTACAGCAAAGCTTTCTCTGCGGATTGCAATAGGATTAAAGATGGTCTTAGAGTTGATCTTCAACTAGTCTTACCAGCCTCAAAGTAGCCGCTGCCATGGCCATTGAGATTGAGGGCGACGACATGGCCTTTGAGTTTGTAGTCGAACTGGAAGCGCAGCTTCGGCACGTAGATCAAAGCCTTTATCACATAATGTTCGGGATCATAGCTAAAGTATAGGCGAGTTAATTTTTCATTGGCAGATAAAGAAGTTGCTGGTCCTACTTGGCTTCCTTGACCACCGCCTGGCTGCCACCCGTCACGTAAACATTCTGCAGATCCGCATTGATGGCTATGGCCTGGCTAGCATCCTGCGAGAATTTCACTCTCTTTATGTACAGGGGATCCAAGGAGCCCAATGCATTGTAGCCGGGTATGCCATCCTTCCACTGATGGAACAGGATCTGCAGGTTCTTGGCCAGACAAGTATTAAGACTGGGATCGCCCACAACGCAAGGTGTAAGGAAATCAGCTGCAATTACGAGTTGATTCATTTTTCACTGATTCTACTTAGAATCTCTGGGAGTTTCTTACGTTTCTGAGCCAGATATTTGGAGCCTTCTGCATTCGCAGTAAGTACAACCAAAATGATCAAAAACTTTGCAATTTTTTGCAGCATCTTTGGATTGAGATATTTAACAGCTTTGCCCGACTTGAGCGCACCGAATGAAATGCGATTTGGAGCCTCGAGTCTTTGTGTTTTATTTGAAATGAATTGCCAAAAATCTAGAACTTTTGCAACCTTTTCATTGTTTGGATGTTACACATATGTGTGTACATTTGGTGTATATATTTGTGTATATTTGGTACAACCAAAAGGTAAACAAGTTTGTCAACATTAGACCTGATGTGGTCGTACAGGGTGTCCAAATGACGTCTGATCTGCTACCCTCAAACCGAAAATTGCACTCACCTTGATGTGACCCTTGGGCATTTGACATCACACTGTTGCCTCGATTCCCTCAAGCTCTGACACTGCCATACTCGTAATATATTGTACATATATGTATCTACATATATGCCATATGCTAGACAGCGATTATCTCACTTTCGCTAGAGCTCAACTGGTTTTACAAGACCATTAAAATGTGACGAGATCTGGTTGATTGGTGAAGTGAATTATCTATGTGACTTTATGGATCTACTTAGGGGCAGTGGGTATAAACTGCCTCGAGACCTCCTCTTCTGCAAGTGATGATTGGTTTAATCTGTATTCGACTGTGACCAAGGTCTGCGGTTGGGCAGGGTAATGAACCGCCTATGCGATTCTTGCCATAACCAATCAATCCTTAGGTTGCATTTTTGAAACTTTGACCTTGACAGAGCTCGGCTCTGAGCTGCCAGACTGTTTAGGAATTCACAAAAATATACTAATTTTAGCTCGAAAATTTAATGCAAAAACGTTGCCAAAAATCATCACATATTTTGTCATTTCTTTTGGCCCAGTGCTGCTGGCAACCAGTTTCAGGCACATTGACTAGGTCAGTGGACCCCAAGCATATTTAATTTCTTTTTTGGCAGCTCAAGAGAAATGGCAAACACAAATTATGCTCTGGCTGCAGTTGGTCGCTCGGTTGGCTGCTGTTAGTAAACGTTTAAGGGGGTGTGGGGGAATTGCTTTACATAATTGAAATGCCTAACAAGTGCAGCCACTTCCGTGCACGGAATGTTGACTGCGGACAGAGTCTTGGCATTCAGCGTAGTTCTCCGCTCCACTCTGTGCTCATTGCGTATGCGTGAGCGTTGGGAGTAAGAATTTTGTATGACGACGTTCATAACCTGATTGGAAATTGCTTCTCGCCCTGACTCCATGTCATATAATATACGCTTAGTGTGTGGGTACTCAAACGCCCAGCTGGCTGACTGCTTTCAATTTCTATGCTGCATTCCATGGCAGGCCCAAGTCGGTTCTCGTGCCCCGCCGAGCACGAGTACGAGTACGAGTACGAGTCCGAGGCTCTGGCTCTGGCACTCGCTTCGCACCCGATCGCTCGATCGCTCGCCTTCCAGACTTCGTCGACTCACCGTCGAAGCTTTAGCTTATTTTTATACCGTAGAGTTTTGTGGCCCCCTCTTTGGCGGGGCTTTGCGAAATGTTGCTGGTGGTATAAAAAGCGTTGCACGCCCTGATTTTCTTTCGAGTGTGTTGTTTCGTTTCGCAGAGTCTCGAGTGCAAGTGCAGAGGCAATTTCCCATACATCGTTTAGTAACAAATCTTTGCCGTGTATTGCGTGATTCGTTGTGCAACAAAGAGAGCTAGAGATTGGTGAAAACGATTCGACATTGATTGGAAAACGAATACAACTTGGCAGAACGATGAAATCGGTAAGACCCCGACCCAGAACCCTTGACTTTTGCGCACTTTAGTTTGTAGAATGCATTCGACAATAAACCGGTTGAGCCAATGAGCACGGACACCCCGCCCAACCCTCACAATGTTGCTTGCAGATCGAAGTTTATGATCAAAAAGTGAACTAATTGCGGGCTTTATTGGTTCACTGTGTCCTTGAGCTACGACGACTAATTCAATTGTTTCGAGTTGTTTACACTTAAAGTTAACTTATCTTTGTCTTTCACTTTCTTCTTTGTAGTCCATTTGTTGGCCGCTTTTGCTGTGTGTGGCCCACTGTGCTTTGGCGCAGTATCAGGACTACACCACGCCAGTGCCCATCCTCAAGCAGATTGACAAACACAACGATGATGGCTCCTACACCTATGGCTACGAGGCAGCCGACAAGAGCTTCAAGATCGAGACCAAGTACGCCAACGGAGAGGTGTATGGGAAGTACGGCTACGTGGACGATCAGGGCAAGGTGCGGGAGATCGAGTACGGGGCGAGCAAGCGCGGCTTTGAGCCCGCTGGCAGCCACATCAATGTGCCACCGCCGACGCTGAGCAACAGCAATCCCTATCCGCTGGGACCCAATGAGATCGATGACGGACAGTACAGGGAGGATCCGGCCGTGTACTACAAGGACCAGAAGTACAATCGTCCAGCCATTGCGCCCAGCAAGTTCTCGCTGGGAGACTTTGGGCGGGGTCAGCAGCAGCAGCAGCAGCAGCAGCCGTCGTATGCCCCAGCGCCGCAGCCTGCACCTCAGCGACCGTACTACAATCCCACGCCGCAGTACTACAACCCCCCTGCACCGCAGCCGCGCTACTACCAGCCCCCGGCACCAGCCCACAGCTACTATGCCCCACAGCAGCAGCAGCAGCCACAGCAGCCGCAGCAGTTCCATCCAGCGCTGCGTAATCTGAACCTGAA